AAATGTGCCTAAATATGTAGATTATTCACTGAAGATAAATGCATTTCAATTCTTTTTTTTATGAATGCTGTTTCGAAAAACTAAATAGTGTGTTGGACTACTTAGTCCTGTAACATCAACCTGAAGACCAGTGTAATTTATTGGTATTATTATGAAATTGCATTTCAGTGAAATTAATGCAATAAGGCTTGGCGGTGGAGACAGGACACTACCTGAATCTGCTTCCTTTCTACTTTTTGCTTTCTTGAAATGGTGCCAGCAGTCCTATTTAATGTGGAAATTATCTTGGCTCCCACTAGTCCAGGGGAAATATTTTCGTTTGGTTGTTGGGGTTTTTTTTAATTTTTTTTTTTTTTTATTTATTTTGCACTATGATTAGACATACAAAGTCTTTCTGATGTCAGTTTTGGTATACTATGAACAAATAGTATACGTAGTCTTCTAGAGGTGAAATGCTAGCCCCTTGTATTCAGTCCATTGTTTTCTGCTGTGCTGTGATGCTACTGAGGATGAAGTTAAACTGTGTTGGAAGGCAGTTTGCATAGGTAGCTTGTAGAAGGTAGGTCGTATGCTGCTAGGTGTTTTCATTTACAGTAAAGGTCGAAACAACCAAACAGATTATGGAACTGATAGCTGAAATAAAGGTAATGTCTGTCCTAAATAAGTTTTGTGTGCAATCCTGGAAGAGAGACTGACCCACATGATTTGTTAGAGTATCCTTCTAATGTAGTAAATGTCTTTTTTTTCTGTATTTATGACAAAACCAAGCAAAGCTGAGATGGAAGCCTCAGAGACACTGGGATTCAGAAAACAAAGCTGAAAAGAAACCAAGAATTTGGGACTCTGCAATAGGAAAACAATTCTATGACTAAAGATAATATTCTGGTTATTTGATGCTTCTCATTTTCAGGAAAAGAGTACTTAATATACCGATTATGTAAATGAACAGGATAACACTATAGAAATAGCAAATTCCATTTTCGGTATCTCCTTTTTGAAGTGTTGCGAAGGACTCTGAAAACCGTCTAACCATTTAGTCAAAAGGGATAGCAATAGCATTTAGCCCAAAGTAAATACACTCTATTTGAAGATCATACTGGTATCACTCACACAAATGAATAGCCGTGCTGTGCTGCAGTTTTCCGTTATGACTCACAGGAAACTAGATGCTGCAAACATGAAGATGAA